TATGTCATAATCATCTGGTAGCATCAGCATCACATCAAACCCCCATTGTCATAAGAGCCCAAGACTTTTCTTCTGTGCTTCACGTGGCCTACTCCTCCCCCCGACACATAAAATATTTTGAGTTGATCTCTGTATATTTTGGTTAGATCGATTACATCTCTAAGAAAGTTTCAAAAAGGAAGGTCAGCTACGCCGTTGTCGTCCAGTCGTGACAGTGACGTCATCATGATGAAGAGTGGTGTTGTGGTTTACTACTATTTAATTGTTAAAGTTTTTTTTTTGTTTATGTACAAAGTACATAATATATAAAAAGAGTGGAAGACAGCACAAGATAAAATAAAACATACCAGATTATAAAGTCATATATTGCATAAAAAGCACTATTTTTTTCGTTGGTATTTTTGTTTACTTTTCGCTTTGGCGTACAGGACACGGTAATGCGTTTTTGGCGTGGCGCTCAAAAGGTTAAAATTTACCCCGTAGCTATAGTGGCGCCACCCTTATTTAAAGAATTTTATGGATTCTTAGTGATTTTACACAGTCTGTACTTCTTACTTCTACACTTCATATGATAATCGATGACGCGCTAAGGATGCGCCACAGTTGAGATATTAGATTTATTATGCGAAGTTGATTTGATGAAATTTTCTTTTATTATGTAGCTGATGATAGTTTTATGTTTCTTACCTTTTGTTTTATTCAAATATCAATAATAATTTAAAAAATAACACGTTTGCGTTTAATTTTGAATGGTTTTCAATAAATCTATGCCTAGCACATTACAACACTAGCGGTCACACAAGACGACTTTGGCGTGCTGGACATGGTATTTACTTGTATAAAAATCCATTTTTTTTAGTTCAATGTTTCTTAGTACTTGTGGCTCTAGACTTGTTTTTTATACCCACATGTTGCTGGGTTATTGTTTTTTTGAGGAGTATAGAATTAAAATACCAGTAATAATTTTTCAATATCTATATTTAATATGTTTGTGGGCCGGGTTTTTTGTCAACTATAGACGTCGTTGGCGCTCAGAGCTCGCGGGGCTCAAAAGGTTAACTGTCATCAATTTCTTAGTGATTCTTAGGTTTATAAAATTCAAGATACAGTGGAGGATAAAATCAATCGAATGTTCACTTAATCACAGATCGTCTCATTGATTAATTTGTTGAGGACTCTCCATTTATTAGAGATTACAGTATTCTGGCCAGTATGCAGCTGCTGGAATACCCTTACATATGAATTCTCAATAAAAATGTGTTCAGTCTATGGCCATTGTGATCATATACCATGGACTAAGTACTATAGTTTGCCTCTCATCAATCCATGAAAAGTCCAGTTGTAGGCATCAGGTAGAATTGTCACTCCTATATGATTATACAAATGTAATCAAAAATGCTGGACCAAGCACATTAACAGTGAATTCAGCAGTGGATATTTTTACACTAATTATGATAGTGTGAAGTTTAGGTGAATTTTAAGACTAAAGCCCGGTTTACATTTTGAGAAGTGACAAGTGCGAGTGACAATGACAAGTGACAAATGACAAGTGCTAAGTGCGTGTGAACAGGCAGTGACAAGTGACAAGTGCGAAATGAAAAGTAACAAGTGAATAGCGGCCTGCTCTATTCTCTGACAAGTATCTCTGCCCCGCGCTAACCTTGCTTTCCCCTCAGTCACCCACCGCCGCCCCCGTTCTAGCGGTGACGTCAGAACATACACGTGTTGGTTATAATAGTTATTAAATAAAATATTTTTGTTATATATATTGTATACATACTCGTATTTATAATAATTTTGTATTATTACGAAGTGGTCAGATAGCAATAACATTAAATTTGTCAAGGAATTATTGAAACACGAATGTTTATACAATATTAAATCGCTGAATTAAAAAAAATAAAATGATGCGCGACGCTGCTATGCCCTCAATATCTCAATCAGTGGGAATGGCCGGTTTCGGCGTAAAAGAAGTAGGTTTATGCGAAGTTAAGAAGCATTAAGTTTACATATTACCAAGAAAAGAAGAAAATTCAGGGCTGGAGCCATATTATTTTCAGGCTTAAATTTTTTCCTTGTTCCTATTTTAGGAAATTGGTGTGCACCAATATCTTTGCAATAAGGCACTTCACTCATCTTTTTATTCAAAAAAAGGTAAACTTGTATGATGAGATACCAGTTTTAAAAGTTTAAAGCTGTGCTAGCGCCTCTTTGACAATTACCAACCCAATTTCACACTCGAAGATTTCACATAATAATGACTTCCAATTGCCACATGTGTGAACACCAACTTGCTACTTGTCACTTGTCATTGCCGCTCGCACTTGTCACTTCTCAAAATGTAAACCGGGCTTAAGAATGGTTGTTTAGTATATACTTGTAATGGGCTGGATTTTCATATGGTGTCTGTTTAAATTTTCTAACCTTTTCTACTTTCAGCGTATACTGAAAGACCATGAAAACTTACCTGCTGCAAGAGTGAAACCTGAAGGTGGTTCCGTCTATTGGATTGTAGATGATGCGGCTGCGGCACATTTATAACATACAATAGAGAAACTCAAAATGTTATGTTATTCATGTGTATTGAATTTTCCAGTGTACACTGCAATTATTCTGTAATTTTATTGGAATGTTACTATTGTCATCCGTATTCCAACTATTATTATTAAGACCAGCAAGACTATTCATATAAAAATCACTTTGTAGTACATTGTGTCATATGCTTTATGGCTTTTCTTTGAGCTATAACAGTTCATAAAACATAGTACGCAATGTACACTACAAAATATCATTTAGATGTAAGATTAGTTAGTGGGGACTGCAGGTGGGATTGTAATTTGTAAAGAAAAACATCTGAGTTCTTATATCGAGGTTTGGTTTTTAATTATTGAAACTGTGTTTTGGGTATAATAAACTTTTAAATGTAAGCGAAAATAAGTGAATTTAAAATGGTTGCTGTGATAAAAAGGTTAAGTAAGTATATGGTTAATAAATATTTTGCACAGCTTTTTATATTCCTGTTATACTTATATTTTTCAAAATAAAATGATATTAATTAAAATGTTTTAGTTTTTTAAGTTGTGGATTCCTTGTACACTATGAATTTATTCTAACTCAACACCCAGACCCAGAATAATTATTTATAGGCCATACAAATTACTTGTTCCGTGAATGATTCGAACCCGCGGCTCCACAGCGACTATTGCTTAGCAAGTACCAACTAGCTGTACACTATATTCCACAGTTGAGTTTCTGACCACCGAGATCGCCAATATGAATCTAGAAGACCAAATCTGTCGCCAGTTTTCTCAGCTGAGCAGTGTTAGCCGTCAAAATCGGTGATTTCATACCAGGTGTTCGGTCTTATCATACTTAATACTGCAGTTAAATTATGTTTGTAGAACATTTGTTCTACAAACATAATATAACTGCAGATCGGCTTCATCGGGGTAAGTCCAAGCTTTCACAGAATCCTGCATTGAATATCAGCTTAGTGTTAGTGATGAGCGTAGAGAACTGAAGACGCTTTCTACTAGAAATGAAGCATTCCATATTACTCAGGGTTGACAATTCATCTGCATTCTGTTTCTTAGTCGAGGATAGATGTAGATGTCTGTGAGCTACAGTATCCACTTACCATTAGGTGGACTGTGTGCTTGTTTGTCGCCATTTTTTGTTATAAAAAAAAACAGCGGCCAATATGTGATAGTACAATATATTCCATTGTTAGGTTTTTTTTTTAAATCTTGCTTTTCTTCGAAGATTTAGTACGGTTTTTGACCGATTGTGATGCGATAACATTGTCATTTACACACATTTAAATTAGTGTAAGTAGATTAAATGTCATTTTTCATAATACAACATTCGCCAAGGATCTGGTAGTGTGCATGTACACTAACGTCAACTCAAAACACTCACAAAGACGGAATAAAACTGCCAATCAGTTTTCAATGTGTATTTCCCTCGTACTCTCAAATGCCCGCGAGATCAAAACAGCATTCGCTCACATAAAAAAAGACCTCGACTATTTTATAATACGGTACCTGTTACATTACGATTACCCATCTAAGACATACTTTCATATTTTTTTCACAATTATATTAATTACAAAAAGTCTGTCAAACTAAATACAAAAACTTTCAGCGCGCATAGCGCACCAAACACTTACATTCATATACATATTATATATATAGAGTTAAGATATACATAACTACCATTAATTTAATAATAATTAATAAAATCAATTTGTAACCTATCGTAGCGGACTTACGCGAAATTATTTGAGATACGTCGATGGAGCCGCGTGTAAAAGTACTGCGTAATCATCGACCACATGAGTTTAGGGAAATTCATACACCGCGCGCCGGAAAGGGACTGCACGGTAAGTAATCCGTCTCTTTCGCACCTGCGGTGTAATGCGGTCAGAGGAAGAAACATCGACATTAAATACTTAGCTAATCTCGCCATATTTAAAAAAATCTACAAAGACGCGGTACCACGACGCTACTACACTAGACTGATTTTAAGAAAAAAAAATATTAACACATTTTTTAAATCATGCCATTTTTGATTTCCTTTAACGCTTTATTTTACAATAATAAGTTGCACATATAAATAGATACACGTTGAGACTTTATGGTATAACTAAAGAGCTGGAACGTAAACTGATTTTGCAAGCCCTAGCGAAATTTCAATAACACGTATCATAATCGATTTAGAACAACAAATAATACTATATCAATCAGCATCGTTATAACGTAATTAATTACTAGACAAATTGACAGACCAATACATCAGGAAACTCGATTTCTGTTGCGAATTAAAACTATAACGATACATTATAACGATGCTGACCCCTAAGCGATTATATCAGCAATAATTTGACTAACGGGATCCATTACGATACGTGCTATTACAATTTCGCCAGGGGTTTACTAAACAGTTTTACAAAAATGTTCCCGCGACACAAAGATATTAGCGCAGCCCTTGTAAAAGACTCTTTATATATGCGCGCCAGACACTAGTCCTTGAGAGCTGAGTGCTGGTCTCCGGGGGCCAGACGTCGATCCCGGACGTTCAGACACCAATCCGGTTCCAGGTCCCGAGCCGGATACGAGTTCTCGAGCGACCGCAATGGACTGTAGTGAATTAAACACGGGTCCCGATGTTCCCGGCACTGGCTCCCCAGGACGTGGAGGCAGGAACACGCCTCGCGATCCCGGGAACATGAGTCCTTGCGAGCACATGGCCGGTCTCTGGGCACCCAGAACCGTCGCCTCAGAGATGACGGCCCGTTGGACGCCCAGAACGGGTCTCTGGACGCTGAGGGCTGGTGTTTGGGCGGATAAGGGTGGATGCTGAGCGTCCGTGCCTTTCCCCCGTGCGCTGAGGAGCGCGTGCAGTCGTGAGTAGAGTGAGGTGGGCGCGCCCTGCTCTATGTACATGTGTCTGACGACTTGGAGGAAGTGAGCCTGGAACACGACACCATAGTTACACACGGTCTTCCCTCAAATTACAACTTACAACTGTTATTACAACTTACAACTGTTAACCGTTACAGCCTATTAAAGTCCACTGCTGAACATAAGCCTCCCCCATAGATTGCCTCATATCTGCCATAGTTGCCACGCTTGGCTATCGTAGTTATTTATTTTTAGTAATTATTAGGAAGATTTTTCTGCCCATCTCCTGATTTTTTTCCTTATGTCGCCTTTTAGACACCCATGGGATGATATGGGGTAGCTGATATTCTTAAACCATCACTACACAGTACATTTACAAATGATACACAAAACAAATTAACGTCAACATTAATATCCATTTCAAATAGTATCTGATGAGAACAGACCTTTGTTAAAATAATTTTGTATCTATAATTAATTTGCGATAAAGTTAAGGAAGTGCTTTAGTTTGTAACCTCAGCAATGATCCATTAATCCATCAATTAGAGTCTATATAAGTAGTCCACTGGTAAGCATGGCCTTCCCCTGTAGATTGAATCATAGGAAGAATTTCTCCATAGTAGCCACGCTTGGCAAGAAGGTTGGCAATAGTTTTTTCTTTATAATTTCTATCAACAACATGCTGCCGTCTATTTTCTGTTTCCGTTTCTCTCTGTCGTCTCTTATGATGACCACAACAACAGTATTACTACATTTTCTAGAGGACTTTAGTTAATTTGCTTACACCCAATTTATAAAACGTATGTATTTCAATTAATATGGGCATTAATTACATAATAAGAGTTATTTTCCGAAATATTGGTATCCTGCTGCTGCTACAGAATAGCGTAGTACAAATACTGTCATTGGTAGATATAGATAATAATAATTCAAAATGTCAACCACTTTATACCGTGTTTTTAGTTCTGAGCTCTTCAAATCTCTAGCTCGATGGAAATTTAGTTTAAAGAAAGCGAGTTAATATAATCCTATCATTACAGCCTATTAAATTCCACTGCTAAACGTAGGCCTCCCCATTGATTGCGACACAGAGAGAATTTTGTCAGTTACCAATAGAAAGAGTGACAAACAAAATTTATGTTGCAGAAGTGAATGGCAGAGTTGGAAAGTGACATCCTAGGCGAAAGTATATCGACCAAATTGGCGATATATTGAAAACTGGTCAAATTAGGAGTACCCTTAACCGACGAGCATGTATGCGCAGGTATATGGATGTGAAGAAGGCGAGAGAGGTGTGTCAGGATCGTGCCAAATGGAAGTCTGTAGTCTCTGCCTACCCCTCTGGGTGACAGGTGTGAGAGTTTATGTTATGTTTACCACTCTTGACAAGCGGGTTGGTAACCGCAGTTATTTATTTTAAATCGTTGTTAGGAAGATGCTGCTGCCCATAGCATACATACATCATCATCATGACTGCCCTTCACAAGTCCACTGCTGAACATAGGCCTCCCCCAAGTAATGCCACAAAGCACGGTCCTGAGCCACCTGCATCCATCGACTTCCTGCATGTCTTACCAGGTCGTCACTCCATCTAGTGGGGGGTCGCCCTACACTACGCCTACCGGTACGAGGCTGCCACTCGAGAACCTTTCTTCCCCATCGGTTATCGGTTCTTCGAGCTATATGGCCGGCCCATTGCCACTTCAGCTTACTAATCCGTTGGGCTATCTGTCGGTCACTCTGGTTTTTCTGCGGATATTCTCATTTCTGAGTCTATCACGCAGAGAAACTCCGAGCATAGCCCTCTCCATAGCTCGCTGAGCGACCTTGAGCGTTCTCATACGGCCAGCAGTGAAGGACCACGTCTCAGATCCGTAAGTCATCACTGGCAACACGCACTGGTTTAGTTTTCAGAGATTGAGGTATACCTGACAAGAGGTTGTGTCGTAATTTCCCGAACGCTGCCCAGCCGAGTTGAATCCGTCGGTTGACCTCTCGGTCGAAGTTGGACTTACCTAGTCGGACTTTTTGTCCCAGGTAAACGTACTCGTCAACAACTTCGAGCACAGTGCTCCCAACAACTACCGGCATAGGTGTGACATGGACATTAAACATGATCTTTGTTTTGTCCCCGTTCATCTTAAGACCTATCCGTTGGGAGACACCATTGAGGTCATTGAGCATAGTGCTTAGGTCCTCCAGCGATTCTGCCATAAGGACTATATCGTCGGCAAATCGAAGGTAAGTGATGTACTCGCCATTGATGTTAATACCGTATCTTTTCCAGTCCAGTAGCTTGAAAACTTCTTCCAACGCAGCGGTGAAGAGTTTCGGGGATATAACGTCACCCTGTCTTATACCTCTCTGCAGTTGGATGGGTTTCGAACTCTGGTTCTGTACTCTGATACCCATCGTAGCCCTACTGTACAAACACTTCAGCACTTCGATATACCGACAGTCAACTTGGCACCGCTGAAGGGACTGTAGCACCGCCCAAATTTCGACGGAATCAAAGGCTTTCTCATAGTCCACATACGCCAGGCAAAGTGGCAGATTGTACTCTTCGGTCTTCTGTACAATCTGCCGCAGGGTATGTATGTGGTCTATGGTACTGAAGCCTTTTCGAAAACCGGCTTGTTAGAGAGGCTGGAAGTCGTCGAGTCTGCGTGCGAGACGATTCGTAATGACTCTCGAAAATAGCATGTAGACGCGGCTCAGAAGGGAAATCGGTCTGTAGTTCTTCAAGAGAGCGTTGTCGCCTTTCTTAAAGAACAAGACCACCGCGCTTCTGCTCCACGCCTCCGGAGTAGTGCCACCATGGCGGACGGAATTGAACAGCTTCTGAAGGACTTCAGGTACCGGTGTTCCACCCGCTTTCAGAAGTTCCGCTGTAATTCCATCCTCGCCCGGGGCCTTGCCGCTTTTAAGGTGGTGGAGAGCCATTCTAATCTCGCTCAGACTGACGTCCGGGATATCATCGGAATAGTGTCGGATAAGACTTGCTCTTGGATCGTTACTCACACTTGCGTGTGGCTCCAACGATGATGTGTACAGCTGCCCATAGAACCTCTCAATCTCACTCAGAATCTCAGGTGTCCAGGAAACGATGTTGCCACACTCAGTCTTCAGCTTTGACAGTTGGCTTTTTCTGGCAGACAGATCTCTGGCAAAGACTTTGGAGCCCTGGTTCCGCTCGATCGCTTCTTTAATACGAGCAGTATTAAAGTTGCGTAAGTCTCGCCGCATGTATTTGGAGATCTGTCTGTTCAGTTGCCTGTATGCTGTCAAATCTGTTGACGATTGCAGACTCATCTCCCGTCTAACAGTCATGAGATTAAGAGTGTGATCGGAGAGTTTTTGTGTTCTTCTGCGGCGGGTCTTGCAGAACTTAGCTACGACCGCATGGACAGTTTCTACGAGCTTGTCATTCATATCGTCCACTGCATTACAATCTTCTAGGCACTGAAAGCGGTTACGTAACTCGAGCTGAAAGGTTTCGGGATTCCGGATTAGAGCACGAGGGGGGACGGAGCGTTGACTTCATTATACGAGACCTCTCCAACTTAACGTTGTGCTAACCATTCGGTGATTGCTGCCAGTTTTCACCCCTGCGACCACTGAGACATCACTGAACAGTTGGCGCCTGGTCGTCATAATGAAGTCAATCTCATTTTTTGTCGAACCGTCGGGACTCGACCAGGTCCACTTCCTGTGGGGCCGCTTCTGGAAGAAAGAGTTCATCATGAAGAGTTCCTCTTTCTCCATAAAGTCGGCCAGCTGCTGCCCCCTTCGGTTCCGTTGCCCTACTCCAAATTTCCCTACCTTCAGCTCACCGCTTTCTCTTGTGCCTAGTTTTGCGTTGAAGTCTCCCATCAACACCGTGTAGTGGGTTTTGTAGGAATGCATGGCTCTGGAAATATCCTCATACATTTCCTCCACCTCCTCATCCCTCTCTGAGTATCAGGTACGCGACCCTCATCGACACACTCCCAATCTTTACAACGTTGTTGACGAGAGACTTGTGGACGATAAATCCGACACCTCCTTGGGACAGATGGTCGCCCTCCCGGTGATAGAACAAGTTGCCGGACTCGAGGATTACTGTGTCCTCCCCCTCTCTTCGGACCTCAGATAATCCAATAATATGCCAGCGCAACTTGTCTACCTCTTCTTCCAGCTCCAGTATCTTCTCGTCAATCCTCAGGGTGCGTGCGTTATACGTTGCCAGGTCGAGTCGTCTTAAGTGGCAACCGAACCTCCACCGGAGATTCTTAGCACCCCCTGCCCCGCCGTTACCATAGTCGCCACCGTAGCCAGGAATAGCGGGGCCGGGACTGGGGGCCGTCTGTTTGCGTCGTTATTCATGGGGGGATATTTGCCATAGTTGCCACGCTTGGCGAGCGGGTTGGCAACCACAGTTTTTTATTATATCACAGTTGTTATTAGGAAGATGCTGCTGCCCACCTCCTGTCTCCCTCTGTCACCTCTTACGACACCCACGGGAAGATATGGGGTAGTGGATATTCTCAGCCGCCACTACACGGCAATACAATACATACATACATACATAATAGAACGGGGGGAGGATGCGGAGCCCGTGTAGCCACTTATTTGTCACTAACATGTCAATTCACACATATAAATTTCAACACGAGATGTGTTTTGACGTAACAATCGTTTCCAAATTTCGCATGAAATTATTTAGAAAATACCAAATTGCACCCTATTTACATAAAATATGTATTCAAATTTAAACGATTTTTGATGATTTTGAACATTAATCAAAAGTCTAAAATGTGTAAATTTACTCAGTCTGTCAACACATCGAATGGGGTTTGTAGTAGTGATAATACTACGTAATTGCTTGTATGTGTGCTCCCGGCGATGCGATCTGACAAAATAAGGTTGACAGCCATTCTATTGTGTATTATAGTATTCTATGCTGCTGCCCATCTGTTTCCCTCTGTCACCTCTTATAAGACTCACGGGATGGTACGGGCTAGTGGATATTCTTACACTGCCACTACATGGCTCCGATACAAACCTGGCAAGCCTAATATAAAGCTGGTTATAAAACATTAGGATAGAAAGTAAAATGAGCGACTGACCGTGAAGGGCTAATTAGGCGCCCAGTAGGACTGCGAGTAGCTCGGCTTGCTGGCCGCCGGCTTGGCCGCAGCCCGCGCGCCCGCGCCTGCGCCGCCCTCCTGCTGCAACACAACGCCCTTACTGCCTCACTGCCTTACTGCCTCAATGCCTTACTACTTCAATGCCTTACTACAGTAAGTGGCTACTATGCCCCTTACACATCTACATTTATCCTCGATTACGAACCAAAATCCAGATGCGTTGTCACCCCTGAGGACTAAGATGGAATGCCTCGTATCGTAGTAATAAAACTTCACGAACAATAAGACAGTAATACAGGAGTGATCTAGACTAAATTTTATCCGAAAAATTTAGAGATTTCATTAAAATAGAAATAACATAAAATAAATGGTGTTTAATGATTATCTTTAGTCTAAATAACGCCATATTAATAGATCGTACGCAGGCGAACACAAAAGAGGTCGCCAGTTATAAATATTATTTTAAAATTTATATAACTACTTTACGTATACAATTAATTTCAAATATTTTCCCATTAATAGAATTTCCAATTACCCAAATAATATAACGTTATAAGCGGGCTTTCGCTATTAATACCGTGCATGTTAAAGGTACGGACTCGATGAAGTGCCATTTCTGATCCCATTCTTATCCCTACGGACTGTAGTAGGTAGCATTCGTATTACAGTTTTTATTTATTTATGCTTTTACTACGTTGCATTAAATATTATTACTGTCTGGTAAGCATACAAATTAGGTATTTTTTCTTCTTTCAAATATTTCTTTTATAAAATTAATATTTATAGTTTAAGTTACATACTGTATAGTTATATACTGTCATGTTACTACAAACATGTATATATTTGAAATAAATATCTTAAGGCGTAGATTTCCTCCATTCTTCACTGCAAACATATTTGTCCAGCACGAAGTAAGTGTGCGACAATCAGTGCATAAAAGTTTTTTTTATTGTTTTTATTGCTACCAGAAAATATAGGATCTATGAGTAAATTTAAATGTGACTGATAAAAAATCTAATTCAATAACATGCCTAATTATCTAAAAATATAATACGATTATCGCCAAAAAACGTGCACCACAATATAAAAGTTTATTTAAATTAATTTCAAGTATTTCAAAAATCCATTTCATTGAGTGTTCCGTGTAAGCGATACGTGATTTTATCCGAACTATTACTATACATTGTGTTATTGTCTAAAATATGATAATTTGTCCAATCAAGCTATCGACGATTCGTCGTCATAAGAACTAAATTAATTTCATCGAATTTGTCTCCCCGTGTTATTTGTACTTTATTACTTGTACTTTTTATTGAAATTAACACTTCGACAACTTTCACAGACAACACACAAAGCCTAACTTTTTGTTACAAATGGTATTTTAATGTTTATATTTAAGCATATCTACTTACCACACTACAACAGATACGTTATACAAACAAACAACACAAAACAAAAGTTAGTAAATATAAAATATAATATTATTCGTGCAATGTATAAAGGCGGGTAATATACCAGTATAATTATATTAAATAGATACATAAGTACGATACAAATAATATGTGCACATAGTCATGAAAATATAAACATACATATAAACTTACCCGCCTATTATGACTACTGTTCACCCGAACATCCATCTACGAACGAAAGCACACTCTAAGAAATATAATAAATTAAAAAAGAAATACAAATTAACTGCATGCATTAAACTAACTATTTAATGAACTAATAATTTGAACTCCATGCTACAAGTGTTGAATTAAAATTTCAAACACTACACAACGTAAAACAACACAGTAAACAAAATGTTTGATATTGAATATATGTATCAAACAGTTAATTTAAGAAATCTTAGAGCAATATAATGCTTGTACTGCTCAAAGATTTAAACATGTTAAAATACGAGGGTGGATTGAAAAGTACTCGGCCTGATCAAGAAAATAAACACATACTAAATCACTTATATTTTTATTTTTCTCCATAATCACCATGACGTTCAAACCACTTTTGCCACCTCCACTTCCAAGCATTTAGACCGTTGAAAAAAATGATTCTTCCTTAGAGTCAAAATATGCGTCTACAGCTGCTTTGACCTCGTCGTTTGTCGAAAATCTTTGACCTCCCAAGTGCATTTTTAGGTTAGGGAACAGAAAGAAGTCTGATGGTGCCAGATCAGGTGAATACGGCGGATGCGGTAACAGTTCAAAGCCACAGTTGTGAATTTCAGCCATTGACTGTACTGACGTGTGAACACGGGCGTTATCTTGATGAAACAGGACTTTTCTTCTGAGCATTCCTCGACGTTTTTCTTTTATTTCCTCTCGTAAACGACGTAGTAAGGTGCAGTAGTAATCAGAGTTTATAGTCTGACCCCTTTCAAGATAATCAATCATAATCACACCTTTCGAGTCCCAGAATACTGAAGCCATCACCTTATTTGCCGACAAAATCGGCTTAACCTTTTTAGGGGTGGTGAACCAGGTCTTCTCCACTGTTTTGATTGTTGTTTTGTTTCCGGTGTACAGTAATGAACCCATGTTTCGTCCATAGTAACAAAACGATTCAAAAAATCATCTGCATCGGCTTCAAATAACTCCAAACAGTCGCGTGAAATAGTCAATCGCGTCCTTTTTTGTTCAACTGAAAGCAGTCGCGGAACCCACCTCGCAGACACCTTGTGGAAACCCAACTCGTTGACAATGACGTTTTGAGTTCGTTCATAAGAGATGCCTATAATCTCGGCTATCTCTCTAATTTTTAATCTGCGGTCTCCCATTATTAAATCAAGTACTTTTTTTATATTTTCGTCAGTAGTTGACGTCGAAGGCCTTCCAGAGCGGGGTTCATCTTTCACACTCTCTCTACCACGCTTAAATTCTGCTATCCATTTTTTTGACGAATGAATATGACAGAGCACAATCGCCTAATGTACTGACCATGTCATCATGGATGGCTTTTGATGATAGCCCCTTATTATGGAGGTACTTAATGACGGCACGCTGCTCGATTTGCTCCATTCGCGGAAATTATGTCCGATTACTTTGTTAATAAATTTATAAAATCACAACTAATTATCGCACACGTTTCGAACTTCACACAATGAACTAGTCTGAACTGAACTAAATAATGTGGGTAGATTTGATTTTTAGAATTGAATGGATCTGTGTTAGGCCGAGTACTTTTCAATCCACCCTCGTAATAATTACAGGCAGTCCTCATAATTTGGGATTGTTTGGAAAATATAAGCCGAATTCTTAAGTAAGAACGCTCAAATCTTTATTGTATTCCATTATAGTCAACCAAATCTAAGGAATACATTTTGACAGCTGTCAGATTTATTGCACCAAGCATGCCAACCAAAAAATGGGAACGTACAATATTCGATTATTAAAAAAATCGATATCGATTATTTAGAGTCAGTAATCATTTATAGTTTGGTTTGAATAATACCAGAATAAACGGATAATTTGAAACACAAGATTTATCAGTTTCTTCGTATTTATTGTAACTGATTATTTCTAGAGGCACAATTATAAAAAAAATTAGATTGATACTAGATTAAAAATAAATTTATTCAATCACTTTCAGTTCAACTACTTGAGCTGTCGTTGTTTAGATTAATTATTATTTGATTTTCAATAATGAAGTCAAAATGAATGTCTCTAAAAGTCATCCATAATCTTTGTTTTTTGTTTTTTCTACCACTTTTGCCCAATGATCGTTTTTTGACAAGGGCACATGCTTTAACGAATATAGAAGAAACAGTCCAAAAAGTTAAAGCCGAGTCACAAAATAAGATGACAAACACAAAATCACGAAATTACGCACAGTAAGCTCCCGAAATGGCGGGAGATTGAAATTACGTAGAGGTTTTTTTTCAGCGCGGCCTTGTATATGAGTTTTTTTTTGCCTACACAAAGGACAATGGCGAAATAGTAGGTGATGGAGTTATTAAGCGTCTACTTAAGTCACCATTATGATATCAATAATATAATTTACTCTAGAAAAAATAATCATACATAATTCAAAACTTAATTGACTAGTTGTTGTAGTTGTTACGATTCGACAGACAAAGATCTTATAACATACATCCGAGTTTAACGTGTATTTTATTCAGGAAACTCTTCTATATATACTAATGCGTTCTTTAAGGATTCCCTCTATGCTAGTAACTACCCTATATAAACATATATGAAAATTATATTGACTAGTTGTTGTTGTAACGATTTGCCAGTTAAGGCGTTTTATACCATACAGCCTAGTCTGATGTGTATTTTGTTTAAACTGGAATATCTCTGATTCCCGACTTCTTGCAGTAGTATGACCGAAGAAAAAAATGTTCAGGATTTTGAACTATATTTTTGCATATTTTGTATTTGTAGACTCAAGAAAAAAAGTCAACTTAAATTTATTTGGGAGTTCGCCATTGTCCTTTACGTTGACAAAGTAAAAAAAATAAACTTGTTTTATTCATGATTCATGTAATTTAAGGAATTTTAAAAATAAAAATTTAATTAAACAAATAATACATTAAAAAATTAATTGTTCGATTATTTGAATATTTTTGCCGATTGTTCGCATATCAATGAATTTTAATCATCCAAACACTACGGTAAGGCACATAGCGACATATCATTGAAACGACGTCAAGTAAAAAGTTGATACTGGCTATTTTTTTAATATTTTGCTTTGTTTGAAAGATTCGAATTTAAATTAGTGATAAAAAACTAAACACGTTGTAATTAAATATAGATAGATAACTTCATAATTCTCCGGATTTGGGTAAAGGGTTGTTGTAAATCGTATGAGTACGCTTGTGCAAAGTTATTGTGGAATGATTAATGTGAACTTCAAAAGGTATTTCTTAGATTTGGTTGACTATAATTAAATTATCTATACATAAACCTTAATTTTAGGTACATAATTAAGGACTCCATTTTTTCAATACCAACTATGCTAATAACGTTACTAATATCCTCTTTAACCACTCTAAACTTCAAATGCTTGTGTTAGGAGTGGTTCGAATTACGCATTCGAACGCACGACCTTTTGAGATCGCGGTCGGCACCCTGCTAGGCGAGTGCCGTTTCAACACAGCAACAATTACATTATACAAATAAACACTTCCAGTAAAGAATATGATTTGAAATTTGGTATTCATTACATTTCTTTCAACTTTGTTTTAATATTGGGTTTATGTTCTATGGACATTTATAATAGAATAACGTTCCATATTAAAACGAAAGGGCCATGTAAATCCCCTTGTTTATCTAATTAATGACAAAGCTTTCTGAAAAAAGCGTTTGCATATTTCGAAGAAACTATATGGTAACCCAATTTGAAAACTGCCTGTGCACGTCAAGTCACTAAGTAGATATAAAAGGTTTTTAAATATAATGCAAGGATCATAAAAAACGAGGCTCAATACTATTTATCCGACTCGAAGGACCAAGTAGAGATATTATGCTGAACTGATTAAGAACGAAAATAAAGGCTTATATTATTAAGTATAACAATTCAAAGTAGATAAAAAATTTTGTAAGCTTAATCAATGCCTTTATTTCATTGTTGTAATTATCATTCAGTGCGTCAGCCGTGTGGAAGTGAATATTATGCAAATGCGTTAAATATGGTACGAGTGTAAAAGGGTGTGTTTTGATGATTCATTGTATTAAAGTACTAGAGGCGTTGTATATGTTTTGTTGGTACGTTGTGTAATAAATGAATTGAGGCATTGTATGAAGGCAGATAGCATACGCAACATACACCCACACTTCATCTAGAGTGTAGAGTAGAGGGTGTATGTTGCGGCATTGCGTTACGTCATTGTATTGAGATATTGTTTTAAAGAAGGGGACTAGATATTATATGTGGTTTTGTATTATGACAGTGCATTGCATTAAGGTAATATATGGAGCTGTATATTTGTGTTTGTATGTGGATGTTGTGTGAACTTGTAGTATACCTGAGGATTGTATGAAAATTGTCACATTATTATTATCCGTTTAATAATAAATAAGTTCGACCGGCTATCTTGGTCAGAAGAGTACGCTAATTAGGGCTCCACCCTTTGGTTGGGTGGTGCCATTGTCACATTATTTTTATCTAAACGTTTAACAAATAATGTGACCCTGTGCGGAGATGTGTTGGTGTGGTTGTGTTGCTATGTTGGTGTAGTGGTATGGTATGCTGGTGTGGTGGTATGTTTCTGTGGTAGTGTTGGTGTGGTTGTGTTGCTGTGGTAGTGTGTTGGTGTGGTGTTATGGTAGTATTCTGGTGTGGTGGTTAGTGTGGTGGTATGTTGGTGCGGTAGTATGGTGGTACAATGGTGTGGTAGTGTGTTGGTGTGGTGGTGTTGGTACGTTGTTGTGGAGTGGTGGTGGTACCTGGTGCTGCTGCGGCGCGTGGTGATGCGGCAGGTGGTGCGGCGGCGCGGGGATGTACAGGTGCGAGCCGGCGCCGAACGGCGGCGGCGTGCCGCTGTGGAACGCTGCCTTCTCGTAGCTCTGTCGCACACACACCAATACAACCGTTAACGAATATGCCGTATCAGTACCGTACATATTTGATTTAAATGAAATAATATATCATATATAATATTGATAATAAAGGGTGGTGGTAAGTAGTTGTTGTGGCCCATAGACACCTACATCTATCCTCGATTAGAATCAAAATGCAGATACATTGTCACTCGTGGGGACTAAGATGGAATGACTTGTTTCCAGTAAAAAGGGTCTCCGGTTCTCTACACTCACTATACAAAACACAGCAACATTGAGCTGCTATTTTACGCTGGTATTCTTTAAGAGAATGTGGTCCTTTCCCAGTCGAGTTGACCCATTCGTGCTACAATTATACCAGTATAATAATATACCAGCAGCATGGTTCTACCACATTGTAAATTGATGTAAAAATATATGCTGGCAATTTAATCCACTCCTTTTTTATATGCATGACCAATGAAGTAGCACAATATTCTGTTCGAAAGATAGATATCTCGCTGGACAGTTTATGTGTAGCGACAAGTATTCAACGAGGGCAAGCCAGGGCTAAGATACTCTTAAAGGTAGTAGTAAGAAGGTGTAGAAGGTATTTTCCCCATGGACAAAATGTCAGAGTACTCACGTTAACCTTGTTGAGCGCAACGTGGGTCTTGGCGTACATAGCGCTGGCCAATTCACCACCCGCCGCTTTACTGCCGCTGCCTGAGTATGCACCACCTGACAAAAAAAACTACCATATACAAATATTCTTTACACATAAATCATAAAGGACATGTTATATTATATATGTGAGAACGGAATCACCCCCAGTCTACTCATTAAACATCTAGAAAACAAAAGCGTCGTTTCAATGGTATGTGTAAACCGAATCAAATTCAAATGCATTTATTTGCCAGAATGTATGTGTACAACATAGTATGATCTTAAATTATGTCTAGTGGCCCATTTACATTCTACCACTTTACATGGTATGCATATATTTTATAGGCATACATACAATTTTTTTTTAAACAAGTGGGAATTCAATTTCGTACATTTATAATTATTATTAAAAGCTAGATTAATTGATGTCAATATTATAATGTCATTTAAGTAATAGAATTTAAAGTGTCACATTATGTAATGATTTGTTGATAATTGTTAATGTCCATATCCGCCAGTACACCATCAACCCCCAGCCATTCTATAACATCTGTGAAACAATCAATTTTTATTTTTTAAAATTTTTATTTTTTACCGACTTCAAAAAGGAGTTACTTAACTCTACTGTATTTTTTTGTGTTACTTTTTTTATAGAAGAGGAGGCAAACGAGCATGCGGCTCGCCTGATGTTAAGTGACTACCGCCGCCCATGATCAACCGCAACACCAGAGGAATTGCGGGTGCGTTGCCGGCCCTTTAGAAAGGAGTAAGCTCTTTTCTTGAAGGTCCCCAGGTCGTATCGGTCCGGAAAAATCGCCGGTGTTAAACTATACCACAGAGAGGTTGTACGCGGAAGAAACCTTACCTCACAACTCACAACCTTTACCTCACAACTTTTTTCTAGGTGAACCCCTTTTTGATGATTCTTTTTTTATTTGAAAGCTGGTTCTTCTTACGTTGTCCCATATAAATTTGATCTGACAAATAGTTTTTGAATTATCCTTAATAATGCGTATTTGATTGACTTCGACTACATAGATGATGTTATTATTTTGTTTATATTAAAGTTGGTTGTACGTTTTTAATTTTACCACTTGTTTGTTTAAAAAAAGGAGTAATGCTATTTCTTAACATTAGTATTACTCCCTTTAATGAGTATAAAATGCTTGTGTTAAAGGAGCCTACAATCCAAATCCTGCTATTAGGGTTCTGTTGCTCAAAAACAAAGTAAACTGGATTTTTTACTGTCCGTAAAAAATAGGTTGTAGCATGTGAACGGAGTAGAAGCCTATAGCGCTGATATTTTATAAAAAATAAAAACAAAATTTTTGAATTAAATATATAAATAAATTAAAAATATCGAAATTCAAATCATATCCATCCTACTTTGAGGCAATATTTTTAATTTTATTGTCACTTCGAGGCTGTGAATATAGAAGAAGGCGAATATAGAAGAAACAGTCCAACATGTATTTTTGTATATCGGTGTATAACACGTACAAAAAAATAACTTGTTTTATTCATGATTCATGTAATTAAAAGAATTTTAAAAATAAAAATTAAAATAAACAAATAATACATAAAAAAAATTAATGGTTCGATTATTTGAATAGTTATACCGATTATTTTAATATTTTTATCGATTATTCGCATAACAATGAATTTTAATCATCTAAACACTTACATAGCGACATATCATTGAAACGATGTCAAGTAAAAAATTTGATACCAGTTGTAATTGCTCGTATAAGGGAGCGTCGATAAAATAGAGCGGGTTTGCTGGCGGGATGTTAACTGGAGAGCATACAGTAGCAGTTAGATGAGCAATAAATAACACTTCTTGAGAGTTTCTTCTTATTTTATTTCTTGATTCCTTATTATTACATTGCCGGATTTGGAATATTTTACCACGAAAAAACGCCCCTTTTTTATAAGCGGCTGTAACCAATCATAATTAAGAAAAAATCGCACACGGCATTAGTGAATCTATTGACCAATCAGAGCACAGAATAACCCTTTCTAAGAGAGATTTACAATTTTCTTAATAAACGTGGTAAAACATACCTTACAACATTTATATTTATTCCTAACGATAGATACAACTTATTTCTATTATTCTAAACCTAAATTATTCAATAAACCTTTATTTTACACTTATAAAAAATAAAAATAGCTTCGCGGTCGCTTCACGGTTTAGCTCCGGAGTAGGATAGTATTTTTTGCCGAACATACAAGTAGCGCCGCCAAGAGGTAGGAATGTACAACACTTTTTCAGGATTAATGCTTAAGAATCTATACAATATTTTTTCATAAAATTTAAATCTTTCTCATAATGAAATGACATTATATAGTGATTAATTGACATATTAATGTTTCTTTTGAATTACTTTAAAGGAAAAAGAATTATATTAATCACCTATATGTTAATAGCTCTTAAAGTTATGATAAAAAAAATCTTACTAGAAAATAAGCTTATACTTGCGTCTAATGTTCAAATCAGACCTAAATAATATTAAATAGATTCATATAAGTTACTTTAAGATAAGAATAGAAGTGTTTAATTTACTTTCCTGTTTTCAGCACTATCAGTCTTTACACTTAGCTTTATTTTACGAATAGGAAACAATTAAGATTAAATACTATCACTTAGTTTTAAATCACTGATAAGGAATAATTAAGATTAAATGTTCGAATTCACTTTGTCGTCGCTAACATTCTCCCCCACGGTGCGTAGCACTGCATCCTCTGGAGGCGACGACTCCGCTGGCACCAGCACGATGACACGTCGAGTTGGACGGCGAAGTATTCCACCTGATGTCCGCACGTCCAGCACCCTGGTTCTTCCGTCTGGTCCGGGATAGGTTTTGACGATTTCACCGCGAGGCCATGAGTTTCGCGGTAATGTGGCGTCTACTATTAGCACGATGTCTCCTTCCCTTGGGTCTCTGGTTTCTTTCCCTTCGAGTTTCCTTGGCATCAGGAGAGGTAAGTATTCTTTAATCCACCTTTTCCAGAAGTGGTCTGCGAGTCTCTGGGTGGTTCTCCAGCTTGCCTTTCCGATGAGCTCCGTGTCGCTGAACTCTCCCGGCGCCATAGCTCCGCATGATCTTCCCAGCAGAAAGTGGTTCGGTGTTAGGCTTTCCTCGTCTCCTGGGTCCATGCTGATCGGGGTGAGAGGTCTCGAGTTGACGATGTGTTCAACTTCAGTCATTAGCGTATGGAGTACTTCCTCGGGCGGGCTCTTCTCGTTGAGGACTACTGCTAGCGCCGTTTTGACTGTTCGTACGAGCCTCTCCCAGGCGCCTCCCATGTTTGGAGCTCCCGGGGGGGGGGTGAACTTCCACTGGATGCCCTTTTCCTGTGCGGCCTCTTCTAATTCCCTTTTCGCTCCGACGAAATTAGTTCCGTTGTCGCTATATATGGTTTTCGGAGTTCCTCTTCTGGCTGCCATTCGTCGGAGTGCCATGATCATTGAGCTGGTGCTGAGAGAAGGTACCAGCTCTAAATGTACTGCTCTAGTTGTGAGACAGGTAAATAAGGCTCCCCAGCGCTTCTCGTTCCTTCTTCCGATGGTGACTTGCATCGGCCCGAAGTAGTCTACAGCTGTGCAGGAGAACGGAAATTGATGATGCTGCAATCTTTCACTCGGCAGATCTCCCGTTGGTGGTATCTCTGGTGAACTCTTCTTTGTCTTGCACCATTGACAGCTGTGTGCGACCGCTTTTAGAGTTGCTCTTAAACCCAAGATCCAGAACCTTTGACGAATTTCGTTCATTACTGTAGCGGTGTTTCCGTGAAGGAATTTCCTGTGATAGTGTTGTATTATTAGACGAGTTATCTTTTGTTTTCCGTCTAAAATGATAGGGTTCATTATTCTTCCGTTTTGATCGTGGAATTTCATTGTTCTGCTCCTTAATTTAATTATTCCGTCGTCTCCAATGTAAACGTCGATTTTCTTGAGTCGACTCGAATTTTCTAATGGCTTTTCTGACTTCAGTTTTCTTATGTCTGATGCAAAACTATCGCTCTGGCTTATTTTTATTAATATCTCTTCGGCCTTTTTTTAGGTGTTCCGCTTCTATGGATGAGTATAGGCGCTTATTTTCACTTCTGCTGGTCGACGGGAGTGAGGTTTGCGCTTCTTTCTTCTGGATTTTTTGTGGTTTCCAGGACTCATCCTTCTGGCGTGCGGCGGTGGTGGTCGCTTTACGGCTCTTCTTTAGTAGGTGTGTAAAGGCGATCACTCTGGCTGTAGTGCGCAGCAGTCGCTCCCAGCTCGAGAACCTTTCTAGGTTTAGTAGGGTGTCTTCTGCTGCCATTGTTGCCAACACCTTTTGCTTGCTTTTTTCTTCTGGCATAACAATTTCTGGCTTGAAGTCGTGGAATGGCCATTCTTCTTCTGGTTGACGGAGAAATGACGGGCCTTTGAACCATCTGGCGTTGTGGTCGAATTCGATTGGGGTTCCCCTCGTGGCGTCGTCCGCTGGATTCTCCTTGGTTGGCACCCATCTCCAGTCTTCCGGCTTGGACCTTTCTTCGATCTCGGCGAGTCGGTTGGCCACAAAAGTTTTGAACTTCCTTGGTTCTGACTTTATCCACTGCAGTACTGTGCTGGAGTCGGTCCAGTAAACCTTCTTCGATATGTCGAGCTCTGATTCCTCTTCGATTGTGGCGGCTAGTCTGCTTCCGAGTAAGGCCGCTTGTAGCTCTAGCCTCGGAATTGACACAGGTTTCGTCGGCGTTACCCTTGCTTTGCCGGCGATCATGGAGACATGGACCTTTCCTCCGGGCTCTACTATTCTCCAGTAGACTACTGCTGCATAGGCTTCTTCACTCGCATCGGAGAACGTGTGTAGCTGTCCTTTTCTGCCTTTGGGTGAGACGCATCTCGGGATCTTCAGCCTTGTTAATGTTGAAACTTCTTCCAGGTATTTCATCCAGGCTTCTTCTTGATGTTCGTTGATAGGTTCATCCCAGTCTATTATATTTCGCAAATGTCTTGGATTAGTTTCTTCCCTTGTATTAGAACTGGTGTAGCAAAACCCATTGGATCGAATGCTGTTCTCTTTTTGTTG